TATAATTTGATGATTTCTTGCTTAAATAATAACATTCATTTATGATAATAAATTAATAATTCTATTTTGGGATAAGAACTATCATAAATTAATGGTATAAATAAAGGATATTTTAGGAAATATATAATATAAATTAAATAAAAATTTAAAAAAGATAAACTTTTAAAATAAGATGAAAATTACTATTGCTCTTATTATTTCAGTAGCAACTCTCTTTGCTACTGTTTATTGTTAACAAGAAAACTTTGCTTAAAAGGAAGACGATATTTGCTCTAGACAAGGATTCTACTCATGTAGACTTAGTCTTGGCTGCTATTATATGGTGCCACAGCTTCTTGCAGAAAGATATAATAAAAGGAATAAACTGAAAAGCTTTCATAAGAATATGATCATTGCAAAAATCTTGGTTCATATGCTTGTTCACCTTCTAGAGGATGCACTCCTGACGGAAATGGTGGATGCAGAAAGATTTCTACCTAAAATTCAAATGGTGCCTTGAAAACTAAATCAACTCCTAATCCTGAAAATGGAATCAACAAAGATGACGGCCATTGCTCTAGAATAGGATTCTACGCATGTAGTTCTGATAGAGGATGTATGATTAATCCTTACACTGGTTAATGCTAAAAACTTTCAGACTAAGTAAAATAATCTAATCAAACTAGTGAAAACTAACACACTATAGAATAATCTGCTTCTGATGATATTTGCACCAGAAGAGGTTTTTATGCTTGCAGTTCAGATGTAGGATGTTGGATTGACCCTTACACTGGTCATTGTGCTAAAATTCCTCAATAAGTAAAGACTTTGTAAGATTCTTACGATCATTGTTAAAACCTTGGTTTTTATGCTTGCTCTTCTTCTAGAGGTTGCACTCTTGATGGTAATGGTAGATGCAAGAAAATTTAACCTTGAAAATTTGAATAAACGAATAAATACAATAATATATAAAATTATAAATTATTGATGTGTTTTTATTTTTTGTTATTATTAGAAATTAAATATAAAATTTATA